TAAATCTTCCCTCAGTGTCCTATCTTCCTAAACTTTCTGAATAACCTCTACAAATCATGCTGTATAAATAACAAGGAGTCTAAAAGTTTACCGCCACACTTAACTCTCTAAAAATACTAAAAATCAGTTCAACTACAGAGGCAGCTGTCTGCCTAAGCTAGAGGATGAAGTTATCCCTTAATGAATTAACGCCATCTAGTGGGATCAGTGAGATTTCAGTTGAAACTAGTTTATAACAGGTTACTACAATCTATTCAACTGGCCAAAAGTCTTATTTAAAAATATACACTTGTATTAACTATTGAACTGTCTTAAATGCCTATTAGAATGTGATATACTTGCCTAGAATAAAAATGGCACAAAAATACTTTAAGACCAACAACCCTCCTTTGGCATAATATTTCTATTCTTTCCTTCAAAGGCACAAAATATAAATCAACAGGTATTAACAATATACATTTTCAAAGATCTCAGAAAGTGCAAAGTCAGAACAACAGTAAGTAAAATTTAAAGATAACAATAGTGATTGCTATTATTTACTTATTAAGTGCATAGCATGTGCCATATACTTCACAGTTTTAATCTTTAGAGCTTTCCTGCAAGCTCATTTTACAGGTGATTTCCCATTATGAAAACACTTAAATATAGAGTGACTAATTTAAAAAGTGATCTTTCTTCCCTCCAACCATAATGAATGTCTCATCTAGCAACACTAGCTCACTGCACATCTACCATGTGTTCAAAAACATGCAAAGTGATAGTCAAAGAGATGAAAAGGGCCCTGGCTTTTCAAGGAATCTAGACAGTGCTGAAGCCAGGAATCTGTGTCACTTTACAAATATCTTTTTTTTTTTTCTTTTGAGACGAAGTTTCACTTTTGTTGCCCAGGCTGGAGTGCAATGGCACGATCTCAGCTCACTGCAACCTCCACCTCCCAGGTTCAAGCAATTCTCCTGCCTCAGTCTACTAAGTAGCTGGGACTACAGGTGCCCATCCACCTGAAACCCCATCTCTACTAAAAATACAAAAATGCCCAGCTAATTTTTGTATTTTTAGTAGAGATGGGGTTTCATCACATTGGCCAGGCTAGTCTTGAACACCTGAACTCCAGGGGATCCGCCCACCTCAGCTTCCCAAAATGCTGGGATTACAGGCCCCATCTATCTTTTATCATAGTTTTACTGTTGATAAAACACCATGCCAGGCCCCATCTATCTTTTATCATGGTTTTACTGTTAATTGTATTCACATTAAAAATAAACTGCTAGCGTGAATATTAAATCCATAAGTTTAAAATTTAGTTACATTAATTTAAATCTAAAATTGATGAGACAGAAGTGAGATATGTACCCTTCACATAACCTAACAATGGACATTCTGCCTTTAACTTCCATTAATATGACTTATTTTTATCATTTTCAAATCTTAGAACAAAGGACTTTTCCATCTTACTCCTCAGTGGAATGTCAGTCTTAAAAAAGGTACAGGATCTATCAGAACAATCTGTGTTATTATGTTATTTACATTTCTAATAGCATATCTGCTTCTACTTTTTCTCTGTGTACTTGGGATTACCAAGCTTACCATGCTCCAAGTAAGAACAGAAGGGAACTAAAATAAAATGTGTTTAATGTTTTTCTTTTTTTTATTTTTTTATTTTTTTATTTTGAGACAGAGTCTTGCTCTGTTGCCCAGGTTGGAGTGCAGTGGTGCGATCTCGGCTCACTGCAAACTCTGCCCCCAGAGTTCAAGCAATTCTCCTGCCTCAGCCTCCTGAGTAGCTGAGATTACAGACGTGAGCTACCATGCCTGGCTAATTTTTGTATTTTTAGTAGAGACATGGTTTCACCTATTGGCCAGGCTGATCTTGAACTCCTGACCTCATGATTTGGCCGCCTCGGCCCCCACAAAGTGCTGGGATTACAGGTGTGAGCCACTGAACCCAGCCTGTTTAATGTTTTTCTAACCACTGACTGGTAGGTGAAAATTAACATAAAGTGAAGTTCAGAAAGTAACCTGCAAACTATCCCATTTTCTTTTTGGGAATGTTAACTTTAACATTTCAGCACCTTCTCCTACAACGTATATTTGTTTACTCACATATGCCCATACATTCCATTACGTAAAACACTAAACTAATATATAATGTTCAGAAGATAATATATAATGTTTAGCTGATAACGCAATAAAATCTCAAAACATTTGTAGGGTCTTCAATGGAAATTTTTCTCTGCGTATGTCCTTATTAAAGAAAATACAGAGCAGAGTTCCATACTGTAAAGCATATCCAGGCCATTATGGACCATATATGGCCTGGGTTCTGAAAAGATTAGCTAAGCTGAATCAAAATTCCTCTTGCTTTCCTGAAGGACTCAGGAAATAGATGGCATACATCTCATCTTGACCCAGATTTGCTTTAGTAGTGAAGTGCCAGTGTCTTGAAAGCTACTCCATGGGTCAAACGTAGAAGACAGGAAAAGAGACTGCTTTGACTGGCTGTCAGATCTACCTGTATATCTAGCAAAGGAAGAGAAACAGCAAGATGTGGTGGAAATGCGACTCGGTTTTGAGTATGAAAACCTGGTGCTGCTGGACAAGTCACACTCTCTGAGTTCTAGTATATTCGTTTGTAAAATAAAAATGAAAATAATATAATGCATGTTTATCTATCTCATATAAGTAAATCCAAATATAATTTTTGCTAGATTTAAGTAAATGTGAATGCAACTGCAAAATGCTATGCTTGCAACTGTAAAATGTGAATGCAACTACAAAATAATCTTGTCAACTCTATCCACTCTCATTCCACTACTTATTTGACCAGTATTCACCCTCCATCTTAATCAGATCCTTCAATCAGAATGGACTCTTCCCTGCTAGGTGAACTCAACAAACTGGTTCACATTTCTAACTTTCTGTTGATGATGTTACCTGGTCCTGGAGTACCTTTTTCTTTCACCCAATTCTGTTTATCCATATGCCTTTGAATGTTCTGATAAGTTCCATTTTCTTTATAAAACTTTTCTGTGAGACCCTATTATACCAAGTGTCTGAACCATACCATTTAACATCTAAACATATAATGATGATAGCTGCACACATTTATTATAGCACTTACTATAAGGCAGGCCCAGTTCTAAGCACGCTGACTATGCATTACATAATTTAATCTTCAAAGCAATCCTAGGAGATAGGTACTGTAATATGCCATTTTACAGATAGAGAAACTAAAGCACAGAAAAGTAACTTTCCAACATTCCAAAAGCAGTAAATGGCAGAGCCAGAGCAGGCTTCCAACTTGGGCAGTCTGGCTACAGAGCCCATCCGCTTAGCAATATAATTCTTCTTGTTCACTGTTTTGTGTGTTCTGCTTTTGTCTTTTGGCCTAGAATGTATGGTCACTCAGGATAACAGTCATTTGATCTGGTATACCTCTTTCATCACCTTGCATTTTTCTGGCTTACACAGCATTTTCTGTTTCAGTATTTCCTTGAAAGAGATAAATGAGCCATCAGTCACTTTATAGTATTTTCATTAAATAAGTATCCAAATTTGTTCAGCTTCTAACAGAAGATTACTCCTGCTTCTAGCCCAAAACCAAAAAATTGTGGGGAAGTCTGAGGAACATTCATTTAGTCACTTAACAATACCACACTAAAAGAAAGGGGAGAAAAATATACCAAGTTTGAAAGTCACTGCAGGAATGAGAATAATCATTTAAAGACAAAAACTAAAGCTCTCTCCTGATTTACACTAATGAAGCAGCCTCCTGAGCATTTCTAAAGGAAATTAATAATGGAGACTTAAGAATTCAGTGGTTAAGTCACCTGGGACCAGGAACAGGCCAAGATATACAACTATTTTTTAAATGTCAGCATTTTATAAATATAACTGACATTACAGTTAACAGAGGCTTTTCTCTTAAATACAAGTTGTTATTTATACCTCACAACAATTTACAGAAGAATAACGTGAAACTCAAGGAGATTTAGTGATTTGTCTAAAATTAGACAGATAAGTGGCAACCCCAGGAACCAAATCTTTGTTTCTTAATTCTAATGCCTGAGTTCCTTTCTGCTTTACAACATTGCTTGGGAATAGTGGTGTGAATAACTCAAAATTAAATTATATTTGGCACTGGAATATGCTTTTTGGGGTCTTATCTTTTGGTAATTCATAATACTGCAAGTCAACAATCACAAAACAAAAAAATCTTGGCTGTGGAAGAAATAACATGTTTTCTAAGCCAGCATGCAAAGCCTTGGCCCACAGAAGTTAGAGAAGAACAGGAAATCAAAATAAATGTATTTCTGTGCCTCTCTTTCCCCTTTATCTTGGAAATTCACTGTGCCTCTCCCTGACTAACTCTACATCCCTATCCAGTGGACTGGGGATAATAATAGTAGTTCATTCATAAGTCTGAATTGTTGGGGGCAATTAAAGTAACCAGAGAGTGAACAGCATCTTACCATCTTTCTCTCCTACTATAATAAGCATGATCAAGTCTCCTCTGTATAAAAAACTTTCTCTCACACACTCATGTACGCGCGTGCACACATACACACACACACACCTCTCAATAAAGTGATCAATAGAGTGCCCAACAGAAAATAGGCATCTGCTTAATTATAGTTCCCTTTCCCCTTTACCACAAAACTTCTTAAAGGAGTTACTGGGCTCTCTGATCTTGACACTAGATCATGAGGTCCTTGGGGAAAAGAATTAACTTTTATTTTGTAACTTCACTTTTTAGCCTGGCTAGTGATAGCATGTTTAAAAATGTTCAGTGAGGTTGGGGGTAATGGCTCACACCTATAATCCCAGCACTTTGGGAAGCAGAGACGGGTGGATCACCTGAGGCCAGGAGTTCAAGGTCAGTCTGGCCAACATGGCAAAACCCTGCCTCTCTTAAAAATACAAAAATTAGCTGGGTGTGGTGGTGCATGCCTGTAATTCCAGCTACTCAGGAGGCTGAGGCAGGAGAATCGTCTGAGCCCAGTAGGCAGAGGTTGCAGCAGTGAGCCAAGATAGCACCACTACACTCCAGCCTAAGCAACAGAGTGAGGCTCGGTCTTAAGAAAAAAAAAAAAAGAAAGTGTTCAATGAACCAATTGTTGAAGAAAGAAGATTGGCAATTTCTAAGGTACCTTCTACCTCTGGAAATCTAGGATTTCAAGACATCTTCTGCTTGGTGGTACTAAGCATTGCTGTTCATTTCTAAATTCAAGAAAGAGTTCTGGTTTAAGTCCTTTCTCTTTTCTGATTCCCGCAAAATACAGATGTTCTTTCAAGCAATGTATTTAGCTAACAAAAGTTCCCTAAAGCAAAATAGTAGATGTCCATGAGCTTGGCAGAGGGGAATTTTAGAGCAATTTTTATTTACTGCTTGATTGCAAAGATCACTCTTAACTCTTGCCTTATTTTTATCCTATGCAACATAACAAAACAAAAAGGGTAAAACATTAGGCACAAAAATTAGAAGCACGCTGCACACTCTAGGTCCTTCACTCTGTCTAGATTTCCAAATGACCACCACCTTCATTACTTCCTGTCCATCCTGGGACCCACGATAAACCGCTTCTACTATGTCCTCTCTTTCACTAGCCCCCTTTTCCTTTTGACCTTCATAATCCCTAGTCCTGAGCTGCTCATTACTACTGGAAAGAATCCTTCAACCAGGCCAAAGGCTCTGCCTGAAGTTCATGCATCTTTGCCCTAACTTTCTAATCATTCATGCATGATCATCTACCCATTTCCCTCAGAAGCTATTCAAATCTTTGTCCTTCTTGACCTCTTTGTGCAACTACACTACTACTGACCATGCTCTTCTTAGACCTCTCTGCTTTCCTGTCACCATCTGCTTCATTCTCTTTCTCTTGGCCTTGAAAGCTCCTTCTCAGACTCTTTTATATTCAGATGCTTTTCAAGTTTCTGTCCAGGCCTTCTTTGTTTCCTCTCTATTCTCATTTCCTGGATAACAACATTCAGTCTCAATGAAGCAATTATCTCCTTCACAAACAGTAAAGGACCACACACCTTGGACATAATTCTGGCCCTCATCACTAGCTGTTTTGGTTTTCTGCAGGTTAACTCACTGTAGTCTCTGGTGACTCATCTCTTAAATGGAGATAAAAGTAGCTACCTCAAAGGGCTGTGAAGATTAAATGAGGTAACATATATCAATATCAAGTACCTAGTACGGTGCCTAGAACACAGTAGAGGTAACTCGGTATCACGAGCGCTGGCCTCTCCTGCAACCCTACACCCACGTTTCTAATTGTATGATAAACATTTCTATCTTCATATCCACCAACAACTCAAATCTGGCCTGCTTAAGACCAAACTCATCATTGTCTTCCCTCTCTTGCAGTTTCCCATCTTAATTATACCCTAAGAGCTCATGCTGGGATTTCTAAGCATGTTCACTTCATCACATCCCCCCAACTCTTTACACAAAATTAGTCTTTGCACTGTCTTGTACTTCTGTCCTGCTACTATACCTCAGGCCTCACAGAGGGAAAATTTACTGTCAGTCCCCTTATCCTTGGGGGATATGTTCCAAGACCCCCCAGTGGATGCTTGAAACCGCAGATAGTACCAAACCTTGTATATACTATGCTTTTTCCTATATATTCACACCTACGATAAAGTTTAATCTGTAAGTTAAACTTATTTAGACCCGGTTAAAACTGGGTATTAGTATATACCCAGTAATGGGATTGATGGGTAAGAGATTAACAATAACTCATAATCCAAATTTATAAGAATATACTGTAATAATGTGAGATGAATGGCATAGGCACTGTGAATAGAAAATTCCAGAAAAAATAATCCTTAAGTTTTAAATTGCACGCCTAGAGTAACCTGACGAAATCTCTCCCTGTCCCACCCCTTCCCACCCAGATTGCCATTGGTTACTTAGTAGCTATCTCGGTTATCAGATCAACTGTGGCAGTATCACAGTGCTGTGTTCAAGTAACCTTAATTTTACTTAATAATGGTCCCAAAGCGAAAGAGTAGTGATGTAATATTTTTGGGCCTCAGCTGACCATGAGTAACTGAAGCCACAGAAATGGAAACTGCAGGTAAGTGGGGGAGTACTGTGTAATGCCTTCCTAACGGATTTCTCTCCATCTAAAGCAGATACGGTCATGTGTTGCTTAACAACTGGGATATCTCCTGAGAGATATGTATCCTTACGTCATTCCATTGCTGTGTGAATATCATAAAATGTACTTAAACAAACTTAGATGGTACAGCCTACTACGCCTAGGCTGTATGGTAATAGTCTATTGCTCATGGGCTACAAACCTAGGAGCATGTGATTGTAATGAATACCGTAGGCAAAACAGTATTTGTGTATCTAAATATATCTAAAATTAGAAAAAATAAAGTAAAAATACACAGTGAACGATAAAAAAAAGGTAAAGCAGCTTGCAGGACTGGAAGTTGTACTGGGTGAGTCAGTGAGTGAGTGGTTAATAAATGTGAAAGCCTAGCACATTACTAGACACTACTGTAGACTTTATAAACATTGTATATCTAGGCTCCACTAATTTAAATTTCTTTGAAAAACATTACTATTATTTATTTATTTTAGATCCAGGAGTACATACACAGGTTTCTTACAGCAGTATATTTCATAATGCTGAGGTTTGGGCTTCTATTGATCCTGTCACCCCCATGGTGAACATAGTACCCAACAGGAAACTTTTCAGCTCTTGTCCCCATCCTTCCCTACTCACTGTTGAGTCCCTAGTGTTTACTATTCCCATCTTTATGTCCATGTGTACCCAGTGTTTAACTTCCACTTATAAATGAGAACATATAATATTTGTTTTCTGTTTCTGCATTAATTCCCTTAGGATAATGGCCTCCAGCTGCAGCCATGTTTCTGCAAAGGATATTATGTTGTTCTTTTTATGGCTGTGTAATATTCCAGTATATATACACCACATTTTCTTTATCCAATCCACTGCTGATGGACACCTACATTGATTCCATGTCTTTGCTATTGTGACTAGTATGGCAATGAACATACAAGTGCAAGTGTCTTTTTGGTAGAATGAGGTATTTTCCTTTGGATATACACCCATTAATGGGATTGCTGGTTCAAACAGTTTTTTAGTTCTTTCAGAGATCTCGAAATGGCTAAGCCTGAACTAATTTATATTTTCACCAATAGTATATGTGTTCCCTTTTCTCCACAGCCTCTCCAATATCTGTACTTTTTGACTTTTTAATAATAGCTATTCTGACTGGTGTAAAGTGGTATCATTGTGGTTTTGATTTGCATTTCTCTGATGATTAGTGATACTGAACTTTTTTTATATATTTGTTGGCTGTTTGTATGTTTTCTTTTGAGAAGTGTCTGTTCATGTCCTTTGCACACTTTTTTTTTTTTTTTTTTGAGACAGAGTCTCACTTTGTTGCCAGGCGCCAGGCTGGAGTACAGTGGCACAATCTCAGCTCACTGCAACGTCCGCCTCCTGGGTTCAAGCTATTCTCCTGCCTCAGCCTCCTGAGTAGCTGGGACTACAGGTGCACGCCACCACACCCAGCTAATTTTTGTATTTTTTAGTAGAGACAGGGTTTCAACCATGTTGGCCAGGATGGTCTCAATCTCTTGACCTCGTGATCCGCCCGCCTCGGCCTCCCAAAGTGCTGGGATTACAAGCTTGAGCCACCATGCCCAGCCCCTTTGCCCACTTTTTAACGGGGTTGTTTTTTGCTGTCGTTGATTTAAGTTCCTTATAGATTTTGGATATTAGTCTTTTGTTGGCTACACAGTCTGCAAATAGTTTCTCCCATTCTGTAGGTTGTTTGCTCTGTTGATAGTTTCTTTTGCTATGCAGAAGCTCTTTAGTTTAATTAGGTCCCAAGTGTCAATTTTTGTTTTTGTTACAATTGCTTTTGAGGACTTAGCCATAAATTCTTTGCATAGGCCAATGCCTAGAGAAGTATTTACAAGGTTTCCTTCCTTCTTTCCTTCCTCCCTCCTTCCCACTCTCTTTCTTTCTTCAGATGGAGTTTTGCTCTTGTTGCCCAGGCTGCAGTGCAGTGCTGTGATCTCAGCTCACTGCAACCTCCACCTCCCGGATTCAAGCCATTCTCCTGCCTCAGCCTCCCGAATAGCTAGGACTACAGGCACGGGCCGCCATGCCTGGCTAATTTTTTGTATTTTAGTAGAGATGGGGTTTCACTATGTTGGTCAGGCTGGTCTCGAACTCCTGACCTCGTAATCCACCCGCCTTGGCCTCCCAAAGTGCTGGGATTACAGGCATGAGCCACCACACCTGGCCATACAAGGTTTTCTTCTAGGATTCTTATAGTTTGAGATTTAAAAAATTTATTTCTTCAATAATAAATTAACCTTAGCTTAGTGTAATGTTTTGCTTCATAAAGTTTAATTTTTAAAGTTTTTGACTCTTTGTAATACAGCTTAAAACATATTGTACAGTTGTATAAAAATAGTTTTTTATCCTTATAAGTTTTCTATATTTAAATATTTAATTTTTAAACTTTTTAAACATTTTAATTAAAAACAAAGATACAAACACACACATTAGCCTAGGCCTACACAGGGTCATGATCATCAATATTACTGTATTTTACCACTATACCTTATCCCACCGCAAGATCTTCAGGGGCAACGACATGCATGGAGCTGTCATCTTCTATGATAACAATGCCTTCGTCTGAAATACCTCCTGAAGGACCTGCCCCAGGCTGTTTTACAGTTATCTATCTGTCTGTCTGTCTATCTATGCAGAAGGCGTATATTCTAAAGTAACAATAAAAAGTAAAAACATAAACTGGTAACATAGTCATTTACTATTATCAAATAGGTACTATACATGTATGTCGTGCTATAGTATTATATGACTGGCAGCACGGGTTTGTTTACACCAGTGTCACCACAAACATGAGTAATGTATTATGCTACCAGGTTACGATGGCTACTAAGCACCAGAAAATTTTTAGGTCCACTATAATCTTATGGGACAACCATCATACATGCGGTCTGTTGTTGACCTAAATGTCTTTGTATGACTGTAGATCCTTTTGCTAGCAGAACAATCTTTCTCAAATTTGCCAGTGTCTTCTCCCTAAACTCCTAGGTAAGGCATTTAGGGTCCTTAACAACTATACTTTACCTCCCATTAGATCCATTCCTTCAATCACTGAATTATCTGCTATTTCCAGAACATAAAATGCTTTTTTCTGCCTCTGTAACTTTGCTTAAATTATTCCCTCTCTTATCCAATACCTTTCCTACCTGTCCAAACCTTACCCATTCTAGAAAACCCAGATCAAATACCATTTCTTACACAAGCCCTTCCCTAATCCCCTACTCAGGATTAATAAATCCCTTCTCTATGTTCAAAGAGCACCTGTCTATAACTCTAGGATGTCACATGATATAATCTATTTTATACTGCAATTTGTAGTTTATATGTCTTTCTCCTCTACTATACTGCCAGCACCTTGAGAACATGGGGAGACTAGGTCTTACTGATTTTATAGCCCATCACCTGGAACTTGGCAGCCCTTACCAATGTTTGTTAAACTGAACTGAATAATTATATCATTCTATCATCTAGAATAGAGACCCATAGCACTTAAAAATTAACTAAACAGACACAACCTCAACAAATGACCAAAATTTATATCAGCACTACTGGGGCAAATCAACATGAGATGCCCTGATGTGAGGAAGTCACAAAGTAGTGTTCTTACTAAAAATGTTTCATCTGGATTTTTACATTTTTTATTTGAGATAGTCTCACTCTGTCACCCAGGCTGGAATGCTGTGGCGCAATTTTGGCTCACTGCAACCTCCACCTCCCACGTTCAAGCAATTCTCCTGCCTCAGCCTCCTGAGTAGCTGGGACTACAGGAGCACCCCATCACGCCTGGCTAATTTTTTATTTTTAGTAGAGACGAGGTTTCGCCATGTTGGACAGAATTCAGGTGATCTGCCTGTCTCGGCCTCCCAAGGTGCTGGGATTACAGGCCTCCACACCCAGCCTAATCTAGACTTAATCATGAAGAAACAACCAGATAAATAAAAACTGCAAGGCATTCAGCACTGAAAGTAGTCTGGTCTCTTCAACAAATGAACAGCTGCCCCTCCCTTCAAAATAATGCCAGGAAACTGCTGGATACTTTACCACAGAAAGTTTGAAAAGTACTCTATTAGAGAACAACATTGAATCACTTTTTTTTTTTTTTTTTTTTTTAGTAGAGATGGGGTTTCACCATGATGGCCAGTCTGGTCTTGAACTCCTGACCTCAGGTGATCTACCCACCTCAGCCTCCCAAAGTGCTAGGATTACAGGCGTGAGCCACCGCACCTGGCTGAATCACTCTTAAATTTACTGAGTGTGACACTTGTACTGTGGTTATCTTAGAGATAAACTGAAATTTTCAGGGGTTAAGTATCATAATACCTACAACAACGAAAAAAATAAATATGTATATATAGAAAAAAATAATGGGACTTTTAAGGTCATAAAATTTGCATCTATTAATTTTTGTGGGTTTTTTTTTTTTTGAGACAGAGTTTTACTCTTGTTGCCCAGGTTGGAGTGCAATGGTGTGATCTTGGCTCACCACAACCTCTGCCTCCGGGGTTCAAGCAATCCTCTTGCCTCAGCCTCCCAAGTAGCTAGG